TCACGGTGAGAATAACCCCATCACTCAACTCAATGGAAGAGAGTCCCAAATGGCAGTCAGAGTTGACTGGGGAATCTGACTGCTCTGGAGACTTAAGACCAGCCCAGAGAAGCCCAGAAGGATGCCCCCAAGATAGGTGAGAAGGTTGGGAACTCAAGCAACTTCAGGACAGAGTGTGGGTGGGGGAGGCTGGAGGGGCGTTTCCAGCCAAGTAGGAAATATCCACAGGGCTTACCTAGTCTGACCACCTCCTCCCTGGAAATGGGAGATTAAACTCCAAAAATGAGGTATTTGAAATAACAGAAAGAGGCATCGAGGAACAGGAGGCTGGCTGCTGGAAGAGGGAACACAGGTTAATGTTGGCCCCACTGAACTACAGCAGCCTCAAGAGTCACCCTGCAGAGAGCTGCCCTAAATAGGTGGAGGCCACTGGCCCTAGAATGGCCTGTGCTCATCTTCAAATGCCATGGTTGCACCCAAGGACTACGCCCAGTTCAGACCACGTGATCAGTCTCAACTGTCAGCAAGGAAGACCTGCCACCCTGCAAGCTGGGCAACTGCCCAGGATCCAGAGAGGCTCGCAGAACAGCATTCAGAGACCAGTGGCAATGTATCCAAGACGGATGAAGGGAAATGAACCAACTGATGGGAAGGACAGGTTTCCTAGGAGCCCTGGCTGTGACAACTGGGAGGCAGAAAGCCAAGAGCTGAATACCCTGGATACTATTACTGCGAGAAAGCAGAGCTCTGGAGCACCCTCTGCTGGGGTTAAAGGAGGGCTTCTCCTCCCCAGGTACCAGGGATGAGTCATTGGATGGGCCATTGCTACTGTTAGGCAGAAATGTTGGCCAGGCCCCCAGGGCAGACCCTCGGAAAGCTGGTGGTGAAAAGCAGCTAACACCTTTGGGAAACAATGGATAGACAAGCACAAAGAGCCCTATGATTCAAAGGAACATGCCATGGCCTGGAGAATTGGCGAACTAGTTAAGCCACCCCAAAAGTGGCCAGGGCCTACAGAGGTTACAGAATAGGCTGGTGGGAAAACGGAGTGCGCAGCAGCTGGATGTGGTGGGAGAAACATAGAAGTTCCAAGGGCAGATCCTTGAGAACACATCCATAGCCCCATTCACTCCAAGCTTTGGTTTGGGGTTTCACCAGGGCCTGCAGAGCTGTATCCCAGAGGAAGCATCAGTAAGGCCCTAGCCAAGCTCAGATGAACCTATCCTGGATGCCCCAGTACCTCTAGATGAAGCTAAGGGTGATTCTCCACCACTACCTCACACACACACACACACCCCCACACATACACATACACACAGGCTGATGCTGGCCCTGCTAGTGATAGCATTAAGTAGAATGAAAGGTCATTTCCTGGAATGGCAAAGCATGCCTGGGTTATGCCACTGCAGTCAGCTGAGCCCAAGGAAAAGGCCCAAGGATTCAGGTAGGACCAGGAGACCCAGGAGGTACCTTCCATCCCTGAAATGAGATTGAAACCAAGAATAAGCATTTATTGAGACCGACTGTGCTATGACGGTCCTGTGACACTGCCAGCCTCTCCTTGGGCAAAACCTATCACCATCACTAGGTCACAGAGCACCCCTGCAGGCCAGGTTGCAATTGCCAAGGCAGTGACTATGAAAAGCACTAAAGCAGCCTTGCCTGCATGCCACCCTACTTATTCAGTGCTCTTTTCCAACTCCATTACAATTCTCCCCAAAGCACCTGAACCTACTTCTGGACAATCATGTTTTAAACCACATCTTTCAGCTTTCTACAGCTCTGTGGCTGTGAGTAACCCTCCTCCCCTAGCCAGCTCATACTTGTTCAGTGGGCTCATGAACAAAGAAGCCATGATGGCAGGGATGGAATCTATGAATTGGGCTCAACAGTATGGACTCCCCCTCACCCAAACTGAAAAACTGACCTGGCTACTACCTCTGCTGAGTACCCAATTTGCCAGCAGCAGTAATCTACACTGAGTCCCTCTATGGCTCCTTCCTTCAAGGAGTCAAGCTGGGGGCACATGGATTACTTATATATGTTGTGGGAGGCAATCAACACTGCCTCCAACCAAGGAACTATCCACTTGGAAGGTGACACTTCAGTGATCTGTCTACAAGAGGAGCAGGAAGAGCTGAAGGGGAACATGTATGGGCCACAACGTGTACCCTCCCCCTCACACGATAACACAGGCACTCAGAAGACACACAAGCTCACATGCACCCCACACAACATACACGTGCCGACACTCACCAACACAGATGTATGTACACACACTGCACACACCCAGCATTCCCACAGATCTCTCAGGTACACACACAGACATGTAAGTGCCCAGGTACCAGTGAGCACACACACCGAGCTTGGACATCTCTGCAGGGGTGGTGACCTTTGGCATGCATTGATCTCCTCAAGCTTGTACACTGAACCAGGCCTCCTGAGCTCACTGAGACCAAGCCCCCATCCCCAGCTGCTCTGTTCATTCTTATTGCCAAAGATGCCCTCAGGCACATCTCCACCCTCTCTGAGTGACACACACCAGAGGTGGCTGGGGGTTAGGGCCATGAAGACCACAGTCATCTCCTTACAATGGGGCCATCTTTATGGCACATCTCCTACAGCCAGAACCCTCTCCTCACCCCACATTCCACCCATTAAGAAGTTGGGCCTCTCCCTCTGCTATCCTAATCACTTCCTCACCGGATGGTGGCCCTAGGCTGAGAAGTGGCATATGAGGAACATTTGTGGATGAAGCCCCCTTGTGGGCAGACAGGGGAGAGAACAGGTTGTGCTTTGAGCCTTTCCCCACTTGGGTTTGTTTGCATATTAGGCATATATTGCAGTGAAAAAAACCACTAGTATGGGAGAGGAACTAGGAAACTGCCATTTACAAGCTGTATGACCTCGGGCAAATTGCTTCCCTACTGAGCCTCAGTTTCCCCATCTGTAAAATGGCCTCTGAGTTTTAACCTTGCTCTAAAAGGGTCAGGAATTATTCCCAGGCAAATCAAGCTTATTTGGCACAAGATTCATTACAAGAAAAGGACATGTTACAATGGCAACTAACCCATGTCCATCTGCTACATGTTATTTTCAAAACTGTATTCTTAAGCCTGTTTTAATGCATGCCCAATATCTCAAAGGTTTCTCCTAGATCTTCCCACACTGGACTAGAGGTTCTCTGGTGTGGGACTGTGTCTCCCCCATCAAATTTCACAAGCAGGAGCAAGAGTTCCTTGGAAAAGCAAGAGTCAAAGTGGGGTCAGGATGGACACCAGGAAAGAAAAGCTTGGAGTCTCTGTCCTAGGGACTATTAGCCACCTGCTGAGCCTCAAGCCCACAGTCACTTTTCTTCTGACCCTCCCAACTCCTATCAGTTGTGTAAGACCTTCTCCTCCCTATTGCTCCCCACTTCTTCTCAGTGATCTAGTTGCCCAGGTCCTATGTCTCCTGAATCCCTCCAGTCCGCCCCTCCCTGCCAGAACCCCATCTCTGCCTCAGTCTTTCCTGCCTCTGCACTCACCAGCCCCTGGGCCAAGGACAGAGAACAGCAAGAGCAGCAACAGGGCTGGCGGCAGCTGGAGCCCAGACCTGAGTCGAGGCTGGGAGAGGGGCAGGGTATGAGAGAAAGGAGTGGGTAGTGGGAGAGACTTGGGTAAACACAGAGATGAGGGCAAAGGCTGAGATAATGGGTTGGGCTGGGCTGGACCCTGGGGCTTGAACAAGGGCAGGAGACGGGATGGAAAGAGGGCCTGTGATGGGAACTGGAGCAAGGGCAGGGGTTGGGCCCGGGGCTTACGAAAACACTGGGAATGGGTTTGGGACACCGGCTGTGCTGGGATTTGTGACAGGAGGTGGAACAAGGACAGAGGCGGGGATGGGGGCCAGGCCAGGGACTGGGAGTGGAGGTGGGGCCTGGGTTGGGACGCGGGTCTGGGCATTCGCTGGGACGCAGGCCGGGACCGGGACCCATTTGGGAAGCGGGGCGAGGGCGGGGCCGGGGGCCAAGGCCTGGATCGGGATAGGACGAGGGGCCGGGACAAGGGCTGGGCCATGGCCCGGGGCGGGGGCGGGGCCGGACAGGCCAGCGCGGGCGCTCCCAGAGCTGACCCGCGGCTCCGCTCCCCACCCCTGCGAGTGGCCTCTGGTGTCTCGCGGGGCCGGGGTCGGGCCGCTGGGGCCGGGCCGGGGACCTGGGGAGGAGTTCAGGCCTGGGCGACTCCGGGCTGCGCTGGACCGGCGATAACCAGGCCCCGCGGCGGCGGTCTGGGCCTGACGTCATTGACGCTCCGCCCCACGGCCAGTTCGATTGGCCCTTGTCAGGAAAGCCCGCCCCCTGCCCTATTCTATTGGTCCTGCTGGGCTCCGAGGACAGACTCCGCCCCTGCCCAGCTACCTGAGCCGGTGCCTGTCTCACCCCAACTGCGGAGACCCAATGCCCCCTCAGATCCTCACGGCCCCCACTGACCGCCCCACTGACATCTCGTAGGAACCCTATAAAGACCCTCACAAACCCAGACACAACGGGCGTCCCCACAGATGTCCGCAGACCCTACCCCGAGACTCTCACAGAAATCCCGCAAACCCCTTACAAGAAGTGAACTTTCTAGATTCGTCCCTTCCGGGTCCGATGCAGCCCCCTCAGGAGACCTCACCCACCCGGGAGGTGACCAGACTGCAGTTAGCACGGAGACTACTGGGCGTTCCGGTTGCCCTGGTGACGGATCCCTCCTCTCCCAGCCCGGGTTCTAGAGGCTTCAGTCAAACTCCTCCCTCATTGGCCCCGGAACCCCTTGTCCCTCCTCCCCGCAACCTTCCCCACATCTGGCCAGAGCTTCTTTGCGAATTTCTGCAGGTGTCCAGGTCCCCTTCCTAAGTCCTAGACTTGCAGGCAAGGCCTCTCACCACATAGCGCCTGCAGCCGGGGCTCAACCTCACTCAAGAGCCTTCCCTCCCTCGGGGCTAACACTCCCCCTTCAGACAAGATCCTGACCTAAGGACTTGTAAGGGCCAAGCCAAAGCCCAGAGGTATGTAGTTTCTCCAACGGTCCCTCTTCCAAACCCTCATCCCATTCCCCTCCTAACACCTCTGTCCCTCGCCACCTCAGTCTGATCCCCTCCCATTCTCTACTTTTCATCCTTCCCCTCCCCCTCCATCCAGTTTCTCCGCCCATTTCCTTCCTCCCCTTCTTCTTCCCCTTCCTCTCCTCCCATCCTCTGGTTCTTCACCCTCAGGTCCCTTTTTCCTCTTGCTGAATGTCTGATCATCTGCCTCCCCATCATCCTACCTTTCCCTCTACTTCCCGTCCCAAACTTCCCTTTGGAAAGGCTCTGATGAGCTTCAGTGATGTATTTAGTTTCTCTGGAGCATGGGGAGAAAGTCGGGAGCAGGGAGAGTTAAGGCTGGAATCCTTAGGCAGTGTTGCAAATGAGGACAGGTCTTGAATGTCAGAGCCAAGAAATTTGGACTTAATCCTTAGGCTGAGTCACTGAGTGTTTTTAAGCAAGAGAATGCCATGTTAGGTTTGCATTTTAGAAAGATCTGGATTGGGTCATTAAAGAGAACTAACCTCTTTTGGACATCCTTCCAAGATAACTTAGGCACACATCGCTTTCCACAGCATCCTGGGCTTACCCCAGCACAATACCAACTCTTTTTTATTGTCATTTTGGTTAACCTGTCTCCTTCTCAGATTTTGTGTGTGTGTGTGTGAGGAAGATCAGCTCTGAGCTAACATCCATTCCAATCCTCCTCTTTTTGCTGAGGAAGACTGGTCCTGGGCTAACATCGGTGCCCATCTTCCTCTACTGTATATTGGAGACCGCCACAGCATGGCCTGACAAGCGGTGCATTGGTGCACGCCTGGGATCCGAACCCGGGCCGCCAGCAGCGGAGCGCGCACACTTAACCGCTACACCACCGGGCCAGTGCTTACCTCCCCAGATTCTTTCAACTGAGCCCAGTGCTTAGCAAAGTGCCTGAGTAAAAGTGGAAGATTAGGCTCTTTATAAAAGTGTAAGTCGGGCTGGCCCGTGGCTTAGCGGTTAAGTGCGCGCGCCCCGCTACTGGCGGCCCGGGGTTCGGATCTCCGGGCGCGCACCTCCGCACCGCTTCTCCGGCCATGCTGAGGCCGCGTCCCACATACAGCAACTAGAAGGATGTGCAACTATGACATACAACTATCTACTGGGGCTTTGGGGGAAAAAAAAAAGGAGGAAGATTGGCAGTAGATGTTAGCTCAGAGCCGGTCTTCCTCAGCAAAAAGAAGAGGATTAGCATGGATGTTAGCTCAAGGCTGATCTTCCTCACAAAAAAATAAATAAAAGTGTAAGTTACATAAATCAATGAAAGAATGGGTGAGTGGATTAATATGCTGGGGAAGGCAGCAGATGGGCAAAGTTATTACATAATGCAGGTAGAAAATGATGAGAACTTGAACAAAATTGGAGGGAAAGGAGAGGAGAGAATGGATTTCGGGGATATTTAGAAGATAGGAAATGCAGTGCTTGCTACCTATTTGAAGATGAGGGCTGAGGGGAAAGGAGAAGACTAGGAGAATGCCCAGAGTTCAGTTTTGATGCCCTGTGGGACATCCATTTAGTGATGTCCAGCAAGCAGTTGGGTATGAGTGTGAAGTACAGGGATTTAAAGAAGTCTGAGCTGGAAATATGGATTTAGGAGTTATCAGCATATAGCTGGAAGTAGTTGAAGCTTTGAACATGAATGACATCATCAAGGGAGGGTGTATGTGGTCCCTAAACAAAACTAGACTATGGTCAGGGCTCTGCCTAATGCATCATGGCATCCTCCTGCACTCTTGGGAGCAAACTCCCACTTTGGCTTGTTACTCTCAGGCTGTGGAGTTCTAGAGACATCCATGGTCCTAAGCCATGTCCAGGACCCTGCTCTAGAACTGGCCAAGTTGCTATGTTCAGGCTCCCTCCTGGGTCATGGTCCTCTGCTACCATCTACTGATGGGATTCTGACTGCTTCAGCCTTGCAATCTTTAAGGTCTAGCTCCCTCACAACCCATAGCAACATGCTACGTGGGGTCTAGGCACATGGGTGAACCTCCTGGCACCATATCCTGACTCAGAGCTCATCTTGCTTCCCCTTATATCTCAGGTGCACTGAGAACCTTATCCTAATTCCATAACCGCCTGTGAACCCTGACTTGTAGACCCTCCAATCCCCAACCTAATGAAGCCTTACCCTATTCTACCACTAGATGGAAGCAGACAAGGTCACAGAAGAGCCTCATACCACCATGGATGCAGAGAAGCACCCCTCTTCAAAGAACCCCTCTGCCAAGGATTCACAGGAGCCCCCTATCCCTGAAACCCCTTTGGAGCCTTCCATCTCTGAGACTCCTTTAGAGACCCATACCTCTGAAACCCTTTTGGAGCCCTCCGTCTCTGAGACCTCTTTAACCTACTCTGTCTCTGAGATCCCCTTGGAGACCCCTATCCCTGAGACCCCACTGGAGACTCACTTCTCTAAGGTCCCAGAGAAACACCTTACTTTTCTTACCTTATCAGTAGGCCATGTCCCTGTGTCTTCCTCTGATGCTCTGAAGGAAGACCTCTTCTCCGAGTCTTCCTCCAGTGAGGTCTTGTGGACAAAAAGGTCCATCCAGACCTCTGAATCTGAGATCCTTCAAAAGGACTCCCGTTCAGGCCCTTCAACCCAGGTCCACTTGGACAGAGCAGAGAAGAGGGAAGAGGAAGGAGAGGATAAGGAGGGAGTGGATGCCACTGACAGCACTGCTCACACAGCTCAGCCTGCGCACCTACTGGGCAAGAAGAAGGGGAAGAAAGGAGTTAGCCGTAATTGCTCCTGCCCTGTTCCATGTTCTCATCACTGTCTCTCACCTGCCCCAGGGGGACTGGGTTACTCTTTGACCTGGCCCCTTCTCTTAGTTTTAGGGCCTCCTCACTTCCCCTAGGTTACTCAGCCCTCCCTTCCCAGGGTACACAGTCCACCCAGTGGTCCCTGCTAAGCAGGCAGAGTTGGCAGAAGTTGCTAAGGCAATGCACAGAGAGAAGTTTGGTGCACAGGTGAATCATCTTTTCCAGTGGGAGAAGAATGCAGCCCTGAATGCCATCCAGACAGGTGAGCCCAGGTACCCTTTCAGAGGCCTGTGACAGGCCCATGGCCCCTCCAATCCAACAGGATCTGGGAACCTGCCCACTCAATGGATAGCTGACCCTTGTGGAAATGGCAATGACATCTGCCTAGAATCTGGGAGGGGAGCAGGCAGGGGGGCCAAGGTGGATGGCATGGATGAAGACAAAAAGTAGGGATATTCATATAAAGCGCAGGTAGGGACAGGTGGCTGAACTAAAATTGTTAAAAATAGAAGAGCCACAGGTCAGCCCCACATCTAGGGCTAAAATAGCCTGCACCAAACAGACCCTAAGGCAGAGATGGCCCAGGACCCTGGACAGTCTCCAGGAAACTTGTTGCTCTGACATGGCAAAAGGCCTTAGTCCCCTTGGTGGAACTCCATTAAAAGGCTGTCACTCCTGCTGCCAGACCCATGATCACCTGGGTACCCAAAAGCTGTGAGTCTCCTCACCAAAGGGGAGGGTCATATCTTCTAGCCCTGTTGGTTCCCAATCTTAGCCCAGAATTAGTACTCTTGACAGTCCTGTTAGTGGCATGCTGTGCTTATCTGTGTCTGTATATAAACGGTGTGCAGAGGTCCTGTGTGAAAACGTGCCCTCCTGTGTGTGAGCATGTGTGCCTGTGTTACTGAACTTCATATCTATAGAGATTATCTTCAGGGCCGGCCCCATGGCTTAGCAGTTAAGTGCGCGTGCTCGGATACTGGCGGCCCGGGTACGGATCCCGGACGCGCACCGACACACCGCTTCTCCGGCCATGCTGAGGCCGCGTCCCACATACAGCAACTAGAAGGATGTGCAACTATGACATACAGCTATCTACTGGGGCTTTGGGGGAAAAATAAATAATAATAAAAATATAGAGAGAGATTATCTTCAGTAAGAGGGCCACCCTGACCTGCCATGAGGATTCTGGGGTTTCTAGACTGAATTCAGTAGATGTCTCTGCATTTATTTTGGTCTTTCCTTCTTCCTTTCCCCTTATGATGGGAGTAGAGTTACGTAGAAACTAGATGGGTCTAAGATATAAAGAGAGCCAGGTAATTCTATGACCTACCCTCCTCCATGTGATTTGCTTTCCTCAATCCCACTCAGGGACCCACCCCTCCACCCCTGGCCAAGAAGTCACAGTGATCTCACTTGCTTCTCAGTCTCAACTCAGGCATTGAAACAGCTTTGTTTGCTTATTTTAACATCTTCTGTCACTCTTACTTATTCTTCTTTCAAATGCAGGGTCTGTTCAGTCCCCTCATTCTCCTTCTCAGAACCTCCTGTCTACTCCCCACTCTTCAAGGCCACTGCACTTCTTCAGATTGAACTTCTCCATTTTCTTGTTTAAACAGGCACTTCTAGGGGCCTGCCCTGTGGCGTATCGGTTAAGTGCCTGTGCTCCCCTGCTGGCAGCCTGGGTTCGGATCCTGTGCACACACCGACGCACC